GCAGAGACAGAGAGAAATACTGATGTGTGAGAAATACATTAATTGGTTGCCTCCTGAGCTGGGGGGGAGTCTTCAATTGAGATACATACCCTTGACTGGAATTGAACCTGGGACTCTTCAGTCCATAGGCTGATGCTCTATCCACAGAGCCAAACCAACTAGGGTGGTATTTCACATTTTTATGCAATTTAAAAAGAATAGGAAATAAGTTTTTATAAAATAGGAATGTTAATCAAACCAACAAAAGACTTGGTATGTCTAAAGTATTTCTAAAAAATGCCCTCTACTAGTGTATTGTGAAAAGCATAAGTTGTGAAGCAGATGTCATCTTCGATTTTTTTACTTTTCAACTTCTAAGATGTACTGGTGAGGTCATATTGATTGTATCACCATAGTTACACTATTGACTATTTTTCACTGAGATGGATAAAATGCTGATTGAAGAATTTATTTTAAAAAACCTTATTTTAAGAATATGTATTGGATAAATTCAAGTTAATTTTTGGGCTTTGATTGTTACAAACCGTTATGAATAAATACCCTATGTTTATGTAAATATTTTATATTTGTAATTATATAGGATATATGATTAATACATAATCATTAGAAATACATTTTAATTGAATATATAATTTGGAAAGTTGTAATTTTATATCTATGAAATGATTTTAAGTACTTCTCTCTAAAACAATATGACAAATTTTTGTTTAAGACAATTCTAAGCTTACATTTAAGAAATTGATTTTTCAAATGATTTTAGGTGATCACTAAACTCAAAATTTTATCACCTTTGGAAATAATAATGTCAAATACTGCTTGTGTTGTGGGGAATTCAACTAAGTTGTTTACTCTGATCACAGAAAATTTCAAGGTATGTGATTTTATTCTCAATGGTAACATTGGAGATCTTACTTTATTTAAAATCCATTTTGTAGTATTATTCTAAAGAACAATACTTTGAGTGACTTTATAGGCTGGACCAAAAGTAGGTTTAACAGAGTTTATTCTTGTATTATTGTATTATTTTCCATATCAACTACTGTAAACCAATTTTTGTCCCACCCTGTATTTAGTTCCCTGAAGAATGTACTAAATACAAGTTCTAATCTAACGAATTGTTAATACATATAATAAAAATGAGCCTTGATCTATTTTAAATAAAAGGGAAAATATTTTAGGTAATAAGGAGGTTTCTTCAGAGTATACAAGAGGCAAACCCATAGAGAGAGCATGTATTTCCTTAGGTCTAGCTTCCTGGAAACTAGTTATTATGCTTGCAGATTAGTTGAAATTGAAGTTCTTGTTCTTTAGGGAGTAGCAGCTATCAGCAAGTACTTTCCTTTAGAGAATTTGATCTATATTACAGAATTGTTTCAGCTTGCTTTGGTAGTATGTATTGCCTTACAATTAACCTCCTACTTTAACCTCCATCTGTGGGACTATGACAGGTAAGTGCTCTGGAATCTTACCCAACCAGTGCACTTCCCCTCAGTAAGGCTCTTTCCACCATGTAATTTATGTCATCCCTCTGGAAAATCTTCCTTTTTTTGTGGAAGGGGGGCTGTTGCTCTGAACCAAGTAGGCAGCATTGCAGTCAGAATAATTCCTGGTGAGTGCAAATTATTTTCACAATACTCTGTATTCTGTTATGTTTGTAGACTTCTTTTTGACACTTTGGGAACCAAAGTTGAGATTTAGGGTCCAATGAGTTCTTTATTGTTCTTAATATACAGAATCTGTAGTCATAAAAGATTTTTCTAGATCCTATGTAGCTCAGCTGTCTTTGACTCTCTGCCAGAAATGCTTCCTCTTGTAAATCTATTGTCTCTATTAGACAAGTCTTTTTATCTGTTGCTTCTTTCATTCATTCATTACTTCTTTCCATCACTCATTAAAGTAAACCTCTCCAACTTCCGTTACTTTGTTTTGATTAAGCATTCTGTTTTTGGTTATAAATAACAGAAATTCAACTTAAACTAGCTTGAGTGAAAAAGAAATTTATTGACTTATGTAAATGAGAAGCCGACTAGTTGGATAGATGCTATCCTCACCACGCTTTTTTTTTTAAACTGCTGATAGGTAACCTCTATGAGGTTTAAGAGGAAGATTGCTGATGGCTAATTCATCTCAATTAACTCAACTCTGATAAAAAAAAAAAAAAACTTCTTTCTTCTAGTGTCCATATAGGAATTCCAGGGAAGGACCCTGACTGGTTCTGCTTTGTTTACATTCCCACACATTAGGCTAATCACTATTTCTGGGGATGGAGACACTATTAATTGATTAACTTCTGGTCATGTGCTTTATTTATGCTGTGGGGCACTGAGTACTATAATTGCTGTGAGGCAGAGTACTATAATTGACAGTCAGACCACAAAGGCAAAAACAACATATATTCACTACACTTGGGGTGTAAGGCAGTATAACATAGTGCTTAAGCATAGAGGAGTTGGACTGTTTTGGCTGTTGATGCTGATTTTAAGTGACTGTGCAAGTTAACTTACTTAAATTCTTTGATTTTTTTAGTCAGTGAAATAGGGACAATAACAATTTCTATCTCCTTAGAGAACTGATTTTTATGTAGGGCAATCATAAATGACTTTATCAAGATGGTTACATTTGGTCCTGAATGGAGTGAGGTAGCAAGCCATGGAAATATTTGGGCTAAAGGTATTACAAGTAGAAGGAAAAATCAGTATTATCATTATTACCACACTTACTATAAATAGACCTTCATTAAATCAGAAGCAATATGAAGTGGAAGGAACATAGACTTTGTAAGTTAAAGATTCTAAATTCAAGTTTTAGCTCTGCCACATATCAACTGTATGATACGAGAAAAGTGACTTGACTTTTCAGAATTTTACTTACATGGAAATTGTAGTTAATAAGACTTATGTCATAGGGTTATTGTGCAGATTAAATGACAACTGTTGAAACATTCTTGGCACATAACAAATTATCTGTTCATGACTTTTTTCAATTTTACAGCTTTTAAACAATCCAGTGTTAAATTACCTTTCTTACCTATTTTTATTCAAAGTAATATATACCTTTTGCTCCATAACTTCATGCTGTTTTTCTCTTTTTAAAAATTCCATTATTAACTTTTCTTTATTTTAAATAAATTAAATTCACCTCATAAGGATATCACTTCGTAGATTTGGTAGATGCAATAGATGTTTTCATTTTTCCTCAACTAGCACATTATAAAGATCTTCTCTTAATTATGATGGAGTATGCCAGGCTGGTTGTAAGCCTGTGTGATGATGTTGCTGTAGAATAAAATTACTAGAAGGAGGATACTCTTATGTTTATTTTTTATTATGTTTCAAATTTCATGTGTGCATGCTCTAATAAGAACTACAGGCTATATTATAATTCACTTAAGACAAATAATCATTCTTTTTTTTATAAATAAGAAAACTTTAATTCTAGAAAACATAAAAATAAACCTTATATAATATTTAAGGTATATACACATATGTGTTTAAGAAACCAGTTTTGGGTAAGTGCATGAAACTTAAACTTTATTTTGAAATTAAAATTTATTTTTAGAATGTAAATTTCACTACAGTCCAAAGGAAATACTTCAATGAAACAAAAGGATTAGAGTACATTGAACAGTTATGCATCGCAGAATTCAGCACTGTCCTGATGGAGGTTCAGTCCAAGTAAGTTATGACTTAAGGACAGTCATAAATGTTTAGTGTAAGTTCCACAAGCACAAGGTCTTTTGTCTGTTTTGTTTTCTGCTATATTCCCGTTACCTGGAAAAGTGCCTGGCTTATTTTAAAAAATATTTTAAAAATTATTTATTTATTGATTGATTTTTAGAGAGAGAGGAAGGGAGAGCGGGAGAGAGAAAAACACATCAATATGGAAGTGCAACACCTATTGGTTGCCTCCTGCATGCCCCCTACCAGCAATTGAGCCTATAACCTAGGCATGTGCCCTGACCAGGAATTAAACTGGCAACTTTTTGGTGCATGGGACAGTGCATGCACCAACTTAACCACACTGGCCAGGGCAAAAAGTGCCTGGCTTATAATACAATTGAGTAGTTATTAAAATAGTAAAATAGGTAACTAAAATTTATACACAAGGCATATCTTGCTAACTTAATTTATATATAATTTCTCCAAATTAGTCATAATCTATTGCCCTAATGGTTGCTGCTTACTTTATTTTAGAGTGAAAAGCTCAATAGCTATTTAGTAAACTAGAAATGTGATTAAAGCTGTGTTCCTGTTACTTCATAACTTTACTCCTAAAAGATTCAGCATGAGACAGGGAATGATATTTTTGGAAAGGATATTTCTTAGAGCATGCTCAATAGATACTGTGACCACTTGTTTACTCAAGCCATCATAATGACTACTTGCACTGAGATCATAATGTACTTTCCTATATGTTGGGACCTCCTCACTTTACCTTCGAAGCTCAGACTCTTTCAATATTATTTGAATACTTATAATGGCACATAAAAAATTGACACAAATTATCATTGAATGTTGACTTCTAATGTGATTTATTGGCATTTAATATCCCTTGAGTGTCAGACTTCAGAAAATTGTTCATTTTTATCATGGTTTATGATTTAGAGGTAATTTACATTGTTTAAAAAAAATCAAGAACACTTAGTGTACTTTTTTTTGCTTTAAACTTGAGCAGTGCTATGCAAGTATTTATAATTTTCCTAGTATTAAGTTGCAATACATGTTTCACTTAGAGCAATTTTTTTTAAATTCTAAAGCAGTGGTTCTCAACCTTCCTAATGCCGAGACCCATTAATACAGTTCCTCATGTTGTGGTGACCCCCAACCATAAAATTATTTTTGTTGCTACTTCATAACTGTCATTTTGCTACTGTTATGAATCATAATGTAAATATCTGATATGCAGGATGTATTTTCATTGTTACAAATTGAACATAATTAAAGCATAGTGATTAATCATAAAAACAATATGTAATTAATTATATATGTGTTTTCCCATGGTCTTAGGCGGCCCCTGTGAAAGGGTTGTTTGACCCCCAAAGGGGTTGCGACCCACAGGTTGAGAACCACTGTTCTAAGGATTTATAATGATGTATCATGGGTTACCTTACAGGTACTATTGCCTTGCAGCTGTGGCAGCTTTATTAAAATATGTTGAATTTATCCAAAACTCAGTTTATGCACCAAAATCGCTGAAGATTTCTTTCCAAGGTAGTGAACAGACAGCCATGATCGATTCATCATCAGCCCAAAATCTTGAATTACTAGTTAATATTCAAGACTCTAGGTAAGATCACCCATTTTTTTTATATAAAATGTATCAGCATATTTTACTATGCCATATTTTTTATGTATAGTTTATATTTTAAAAAATTGGTTAATGGAGAATAATTGCATTGTTGTTCAACTGTTCAGATGTTTCACCAAAGTCAGATTTTTGAAAGATACTTGCGGAAATGGCATAAGCCATTGCCTGTGTGCTGCCCAGGGCTCCTGGGGCCATCTGACATAAGCTACAAAGTGATCTGCAGATGCCTGTTACTTGTAATGGGCTTGGAGCTGCCCAGGAGAGGCCAAGCTACAAACCAAGGCTGGCTGGCTACTGCTAGTGCCAGGCCTGGGGCGACTTAACGAGAGGTATGGGGCACACTGAGGCCAAATGCTGCTACTTTAAGAGGTTTTAGGAAAGTCTGAAGCACGAGCCTAGACAAGTCATTCATATGGAAAAGTCACTGGAAACAGTGTGGGTGGGCCCCCAAGTTGGGTGGGGCAAGATCTCAGGGAATCCCAGCGTAGGGAGAATAGTGCAAGCCAGATTGATGGAAACTCAGATACGGTGCCTGCCTGCCAACTTTGTGGAGGGGACATTGTATCTCAGAAAAGGAACAGTGGTCTCTGCCAGCACTTCTCTGCCCTTTGAGCTCTCGCTCTGATGCCAGACAATTCTTTTTCTGTCCACATGTCTCTGGTGCCTTTTCAGCTGTTGCTCCGGCACTGGAGCCCAGAGGGAGCGAGTCCGAGTAAGTCCATGCATGGGCCATTTAGGAGGAACTGCCTCCTGGAACTCCAGCATCATTTCATCTCAGTCAGCTACAATCCCCTCTAGTTTTTGCTTTAAAAATATATATATATTAATTTATTTTAGAGAGGAAGGAAAAGAGAGAGAGAGAGAGAAACATCAATGGATGAGAGAGAATCATTGATTAGCTGCCTCCTGCATGTCCCACACTGGGGATCTGACCTCTTGATTCATAGGATGATGCTCAGCCACTGAGCTACACAGGTCTGGGCCCTGCTAGTTTTTACAGTAATGGAAACTTCTCTTCCTGGCACTGGAATCCTGGTCTCTGGGGCCTGGTGTGGGGCTGGGACCCCTAGATCCTCAGGGGGAATCTCTGCAGCTGAAATCCCTTCCATTATTCACCAAACGTGGGTTTGGGACTAGCCTGGTCTGGGTCTCCACCCCTCCCAGTAGTCTCAAGTGGCTTCTTCTTTATATCCTTAGTTGTAGGACTTCCATTCTGCTAGATTTCAGGATGTTCTGAATTATGGTCAGTTGTAATTTCGATGTGGTGGTGGGAGGATGCAAATACCATATTTACCTACGCCTGCCATCTTGACCGGAAGCCTGTGTTTTTTTGTTTGTTTGTTTTTAAGTTTCTGTACCTGAATTTTTTTCCTCTCTTTCATTTGTATTTCTCTAACTTCTTAAGTTAGAATGAAGTGATTATATTAAATACTCATTTTATTAATGTAAAATATTTTCCCCACCTAAGGATGAATTAATATTATTTGTTTTTCGTCACAGAAAAAAATATATCCTTATTATATCAGGATATTATAGAGAAGCCTGGTGCATGGATTCACACATAGGTGGGGTCCAGCCTGCCTGCCCCGATTGGGGCCGATCAAGCGGGGCCAGCCAGAGGGGAGGGGACGCGGGTGGTTGGCGGGCTGGCCCCATCCCCTGGTTGGACTCCGGGTGGAACTCCTGGTGGAGGAGACAATTTGCATATTAGCCTTTTATTATATAGGGTTATTATTGATATCTTGCTATTACTAATGGAATGTCATGGATTAGAACAGTGGTTCTCAACCTTCTGGCCCTTTAAATACAGTTCCTCATGTTGTGACCCAACCATAAAATTATTTTCGTTGGTACTTCATAACTGTACTGTTGCTATTGTTATGAATACTAATGTAAATATCTGATATGCAGGATGGTCTTAGGTGACCCCTGTGAAAGGGTCGTTCGACTGCCAAAGGGGTCGTGACCCACAGGTTGAGAAACACCGGATTAGAACATTTTATTTTTTAACATATCTTTTTATTGATTTCAGAGAGGAAGGGAGAAGGAGAAAGAGATAGAAACATCAGTGATGAGAGAGAATCATTGATCAGCTGATTCCTGCACACCCCCTATTGGAGATTGAGCAACCCAGGCAACCTGGGCATGTGCCCTTGACTGGAATAGAACCTGGGACCCTTCAGTCTTCAGGCTGATGCTCTATACACTGAGCCAAACTGGCTAGGGCTGGATTAGAACATTTTATATTAGTCTGAATATGGTAAATGATCTATGAAAAAATTGTTAAATGTAAGAAGATACTGTAGATTCTTATTAATCAACATATGGTTCATTGACTGACAGCATACTTGGGAGCATATTCAAAATATAGATTCTTAGGTCTCATGCCTGTCCTGAATCAGAATACACATGTGACTTGTATGCATGTTAACATTTGAGATTCACTACTATAGATTATAGGATTATTTAGTTACAAATTTAAATTGCAATTTTCTTATATTTGTCTTTCGTATACTTAATGAAAATTTTCAAACTTGTGTTTTCAAAGGAATAATCACACTCTCTTTGGTGTTCTAAATTACACTAAGACTCCTGGAGGGAGTAGAAGACTTCGATCTAATATCTTAGAACCTCTAGTTGATATTGAAACCATTAACATGAGGTTGGATTGTGTTCAAGAACTACTTCAAGATGAGGAACTCTTCTTTGGACTTCAGTCAGGTAAATGAATACCCTCTAAGTTTATAAATAGAAATTATTAGAAAGATACATTGTCTTCTTTATAAGGACACCAGTCAGTTTAAGGCCCACACTAATGACTTTATCTTAACTTAATTATATCTGCAAAGATTTAATTTCCAAATAAGGTCACATTCACAGATATGGGGATTTAGGACTTTAAAATATCTTATTGAAGGGACACAATCTAACCCATAACATGAGGTTAGAGAATTGCCCATGGCACCTGGCTGTTTGTTCACCGGCATGGCAGTGCAATGTTCTTAAAAGATTGGTGGAAGGACATTTTGTTTGCTTTGTTCCTAGTTCAGTTCCTGGTTTCTAGGAACTTGGTCTGTCTTTCATACCCCATTTTCCAACTACCCTCCTGGTGTACTGGTGGTGTAAACAAGTGGCACATGAAAATCTGGAAGGCATTTACAGCCTGAACAATTTTTCCTCATTCCAATTCCAAATACATTTTAGTTTTACAGTTCCTTAAAAATTCTGGCATTATATTGTCTGTGACTGTGCACTTCCAATGTTGTTGAATATATTCTCTTTTTCTATATATTCCAATGTATTTAGTAAAACTTTGGGAAAGGTACAAAGAAGCCGTTTTTAACTGATAACCCTTTTCTTGTTCACAGCAACATCTTGTTGGCCTATCTATACCTGGCATTCCGTGTAATACATAAGTGCCAGGAATATTCAAGTCATTTAATCATGTAATGTTAGTCAAGCTACAACCATTTCTATGTTTCCTGTATTGTGACAGTTTATAATTTATTGTAACGTAAAAAGTAGGGGAATATAAACATCGAGCAGGGTGGGAGAGTAATTTTTATAGTTTATTAAAATATGAGAATCTGAAACTTACTTTAAAAGACCCAGTATTACTTTATTGTAGGTATTTTATAGGTATTAGGGATAAAAAGATAAGGAAGAGTAAGTTATAAGTTTCTGTTCACAAGGATCTTAAATTCATGTTAGGGAAGCAGACCTCCAAATATGTGATGCAGTGTGGTAAATGCAACCATAATTGAGTATTTTATGGGAACACAGAGGAAGAAACTGGGATAATGACAGAATCCATACGGGATTCACAAAGACAATATTTCAGCTTGTCTTGAGGAAATGAGTAAGACTGACAACAGGAGAATCTTAGAAATGATATTCAAGACAAAGGGAGCATGCCTATGCAAGGTTTGTTAATGCACATGGGTTAATAGAAAATATGTTTAGATGTGGTAGCAGGGATAAAGATATGGTATGAGTCCTATTGGCTGTGATCTTAAATACTCATTACTTTTAAGGTACACTTGTTTTTTTGGGGAGTTGGGTAAGGTAGAGTTATACTTACATTGATATAAAAGAGCTTGCTATATTTAAGATATGGCCAGTACTTATTTATGACTTGAAGCATTGGGGAAAAGCAGGAAATGAGCGCTGGAGCTATCAGCCGTGGGCAAACTACGGCCTGCGGGCCGGATTCGGCCCGTTTGAAATGAATAAAACTAAAAAAAAAAAGACCATGCCCTTTTATGTAATGATGTTCACTTTGAATTTATATTAGTTCACACAAACACTCCATCCATGCTTTTGTTCCGGCCCTCCGGTCCAGTTTAAAAACCCATTGTGGCCCTCGAGTCAAAAAGTTTGCCCACCACTGGGCTAGCTTATGAAGGACCTTTATATAATACGAAGACATTGGGATTTTATCATGCAGGACATAGGGAGCTGACAGTTCTAAACTGAGAGAGTAATACGAGCAAACCTTTATTTTAGAAACATTATTATGGTTGTGATAGATTTGGGGAAAGGAAGAAGGAAGAGACTGAAAAAGAGAAACGCCAATCTAAGGACTTTAAGAGTCTAGTGGAATCACACGTAAAATGTCATAATTGAACAGTATAAGAGTAGTATTAGTAGTATACTGAGCCTATTTACTCTAATTTTTAAAAACAGTTCAAACATAATTAATTTACAGTAGAAGTGGTAAATTAGAAAAGGGCACAGTGCTAGAAATAGGCACACTGAAAATTATCAGAAGACTTAGTGGTTTGAACAGGAAGTGAGTGACATAAAAAGGTTTTTTTTAGATATGTTTTTATTGATTTTTTTTTTTTAGAGAAAGAGGAAGGGAGAGTGATAGAGAGATAGAAACAACAACCTGGGGATATTTAAAAGAGATAGATTATAATTACCTATACATTTATTTTTATAGAATACAGTGGGGCCTTGACTTACGAGTGTCCCGACTAATGAGTTTTTCGAGATACGAGCCATCTCTCTGCCGATTTTTTGCTTTGAATTGTGAGCTAAAATTTGGGTTACGAGCCAGCTTCAGATACCCCACCGCTAGTTGGTGCAGTGAACATCACAGTGATTTGACATACGAGTAATTTGAATTACGAGCTCTGTCACGGAACGAATTAAACTCGTAAGTCAAGGCCCCACTGTACTTTAAACTGGAAAATGAGTTGAGAAGAATAAAATAACAGTTTTGAGCTGTGATATGTTTAGGATACTTTATACACATTATCTCACTTAATCCTCACAGCAACCCTAAGGAGGTAGATGTCATTATCCACATTTAAAAGATGGAAGTTAGGCCCTAACTGGTTTGGCCCAGTGGATAGAGAGTCAGCCTGCGGACTCAAGGGTCTCAGGTTTGATTCCAGTCAAGGACATGTACCTTGGTTGCAGGCACATCCCCAGTAGGGGTGTGCAGGAGGCAGTTGATCAATGTTCCTAACTCTCTATCCCTCGCCCTTCCTCTCTGTAAAAAATCAGTAAAATATATTAAAAAAAATAATGGATGGAAGTTAGGTAACTTCTGGAAGATTACATTAGTGGTCTAACTATCCTTTTAAACTAATCTTTTTAAGTATCAGAAAGAAAAGTTAGAGATCAGAAAGGTGGGAAGAAAATTATGAGAAGCAACATCTAAAAGTTAGAGAAGTAGAGTTTCAAGAATGAGGGGTGATCAACAGTGTCAAATTTGGAAGACATTGTGAGTAATCAAAATTAAGAATTGACTATTATTTTATTCCTGGCACATGTAAGATAGATAAAAACAACTAAAATAAGTAATATTTGTAGGTAGAATGGTTCTAGTTTATTATTTGAGGATACATAGTCTATATTTTAAAAAGTTCAAATGCTCATTATTTTTTTGTTTCTGTTTGTTTTAGTTATAGCAAGATTTCTTGATACGGAGCAGCTTCTTTCTGTTTTAGTCCAAATTCCAAAGCAAGACACGGTATGTTTATATATACATTATAGGTTATATTATTATTACACATTGTGATGTATAATGTGTAATGTAACAATTGGACATTATTAAAATATTTTGGAAAAGTGCTTCATTATTAATATCAAAGTTTTTTAAGGCCTTTAAAAGCAAAAACTTCTGACTAAACTAAATGTCCTCTGAAAATCTCCAGTGTGGAATTGCTAAAGATGAGTTATTGTATTTCCCCTTAAGGATATTGATTTTAGAAAATGCCGTTTTTTGATCATAAGTATTTAGTGAGAAGAATAATGCTTAAAATTTGTTATTTGAATTAACCCAAATGTTCGTTCTTTCTTTCTTTCTTTCTTTCTTTCTTTCTTTCTTTCTTTCTTTCTTTCTTTCTTT